GCTGATGGGCAGAGCTATTTTACTGTCTAGCACGAGAATGTAGATGTGCAGGGCACATGCTGGCTGTGGGTACCTGAAAAGGGAGATTCAGCTGAAGTACAGTCAGATGTCAGCACATTCACTCAAGCTATAAATGATTCTTATCATCTGCACATTACCTGGGGATAATATTAACAAGAGATATTGCTAAACAAAAAGCATTAGGAAGGAAATAAATTCTAAGCTTAGGCATCAAATGTCCGGTGGTGACATTTCAAGTCATGGGGACCATATCCCTTTCAAAATGCACCTATATTTAAACCTCCAGAATTGCTGCATACAAAAATACTGCACAGCATGGTCCCATCAATTCTCAAGAGTGTGATTTTGTCAAATTCACCTTTTGCGGGAAGATATTTTGAGGCTTTATTGAAGATAAGCCAAAGAGAAGAAAATCTATCATTCTTTCAAATTCATATTCACAGAAATATTTTCTTCCCCTAACATCTATGTGCTGCTTCTATATACACACACATATATGCAGATCTACCAGCATAACGATTTTATCAATCTAAAAACTTAAAATGGAACACACATGCCTTAAGCTACAGATTATAAAAATGACATTGAGTGAAAGGACAAAATGGGGGGAAAAATGCTCTCTTGTACTATTTAAAAAAGAGCTCAATTTGATGGCTGTTTGCATAAGCAGATACAGAAATATTCAGTGTAACCTCAGCTAGCACTAATATAACCTAGAAGTTTAGCAAGGATACATACTCAAGGACTGCACAGGTCTGACTATAAAGATACATACTACAAGATAATGTACACACATATTACAAGATAAAGTACATACATATATGCACCTACAAATTTAGCTATTAAAAGAGAACAGAATGCTCAACATAATTTCCCACTGTAACAACCTTTGCCCAAAATCTACACTACCACAGAATACAGTAAGTAGGTCTAACATATCTCATCAACCTGCAGCAAGCCAAACAGATGTAGTGACTCTCATATCTTACAGCTCAGTCATAAAGGGGCAGTGCCAAATCCATACAGATGTATGTCACACTGTAAGAAATAGTGTTCCTGTCCTAAAAACTTTCCCTGTTAGTGAGCGATGTGCAGATCTTCCCATTATGGTGAATACCTGAAATTCTGTATTAAAGTCAATCTGGTTTAAGTTACCAAACTTGTTGGTACATTGTCAGAGACACAAGAAAGTGAGTCCTGGCACTGGGATCTTTCATCCTGGAAGGAGATACTTTATCTATATAGGAGCGTGATCAGCAGGTCGAAGAAGGTGATCCTGCCCCTTTACTCTGCTCTCGTGAGACCTCATCTGGAGTATTGTGTGCAGTTCTGGTGTCTTCAACATAAAAAGGACATGGAACTGTTGGAACAAGTCCAGAGGAGGGCCATGAGGATGATCAGGGGACTGGAGCACCTCCCGTATGAAGACAGGCTGAGAAAGTTGGGGCTGTTCAGCCTGGAGAAGAGAAGGCTGCGTGGAGACCTCATAGCAGCCTTCCAGTACCTGAAGGGGGGCTATAGGGATGCTGGGGAGGGACTCTTCATTAGGGACTGTAGTGATAGGACAAGGGGTAACGGGTTAAAACTTAAACAGGGGAAGTTTAGGTTGGATATAAGAAGGAAATTCTTTACTGTTAGGGTGGTGAGGGACTGGAATGGGTTCCCCAGGGAGGTTGTGAATGCTCCATCTCTGGCAGTGTTCAAGACCAGGTTGGACAAGGCCTTGGGTGGCATGGTTTAGTGTGAGGTGTCCCTGCCCATTCAGGGGGGTTGGAACTTGATGATCTTAAGGTCCTTTCCAACCCTAACTATTCTATTATTCTGTATATACATATACATATATATACATATATATATATATATATATATAAAAAGATACATGTGTTTAGTTGGAGCAATCAAGCATATATCTGCATTAGGGGGTGAGTCAACTCAGTCTGCTGCTTGCGTTTTCTTTGGTATTCCACTGAGCACTTCATTTGCTTTCAATTTTCAGGAACCTGCCTCATGGTCTACATGATTCAAAGTTAGGACATGATATGCAATAGTAGAAAGTATTTGGCAGCAACCTGGGTGCAAAACAGCTCTGGTAGAAGCTTCCTCATAAGAGGAGAGCTACAAACATTTAGCAGGATCCACTGCCTCATAGATAGTCATAAACATTTTGCCTTTTAAAATTGCTCTTGGTTTTTACACTAAAATACCATATTTTCCCAGAGAAAAATATATGGTCTGAAAAAGGAACAATTTTCTAAGTAACTTCCCATAAGTGCACACTTTCCTCAATTAACAGGGCACAGATTTAAGTAATTTCTTGAAGAACTTTTCTGAAGAGTCATCTAACTAATTAGCTGATTATGGCTACACAAACAACTGTGTTTTCTAGTTCACATTTTACCTATTCAATAACACCATGGGAAAGTGTACATCCTACAAGGTTGCTGTAAGACTTGAATTTATGATCTGATTCACCCTGGATATACACCTTTGTACTTCTCTCACAAGAGCTGTACTATAACTTATTATCTGGCTGGGGTAGAGTGTTATCTGCTTATAGAGCAAAGCCAGAATCACTTCTGGTTGCTAAATACAGTCCCAAGCGTAAAAGACCAAGACAACCCCAGTGGCTGACTTTTAACAATTCCACAGAAAGAAATAAAAATTGGTATACCTTAAAAAGCCCAAATGTTAACTAAAAGGAGGACGAAGGTTACTCTGTACATCAGTGACGTTATAAACCTCATTGATATTTTAGCTCCCAAGAAATACTGAAAAAACGCATTTTACCTGCTAAATTACTGACAAAACACTGCCGTTAAAGTCATCTGTATTGGTGTATGACCAAATGTCACTTTGGTCATTTATCCCACAATGACATTTCTAAAAGCAATCACTGATTTCATTTAAGGATATGAAAGTAATTATTAACCATACTCAGTTTTCCAATTTCCAGCCCCCAAGAAACGTTATCTCTAGTGCGTGCCCTGAATCTAAACCATTCCTTATTTGCTTTGTGTTAAAAAAGAAAGTGCCCAAATCTATTATTATTTCCTTCTTCTTTGTATATACAAATTCCTATTGTTCCGCAAGGGAAGCCTGTTTTTCAAATTCATCACAAACGTGGCTGTTCTGATATCAATAGATTTGTCTTCAAAGTAGATCGGATGCACAGCCTCTGGACTAGAGTTTTAAAGCCAAACATACTGGATACATGAGAGAAGAAATCAGATAACATACACAATAATTTTCTTTTATTACCGCTGATCTGAGGCTGAACATCTCCAATCATGTTCTTTCTTTCAACTCAACTAACGCCAAACTGACATTATCTCAGCTGACTTTTGCAGAACCGAGTCTGCATTTGCTAAAGGAATTTTTAAGCAGCGGCAAGTAAATTAAGGGTTAGTCCCACTCACTTGAAACATGCAGCGAAACTGAAATCCCTACAACTTCCTGGGTTTTCAGCATAGAGAACATGAGTGGAAGGCAAAATGATTTAAACAAAACCCTCGTATGTCATAGAACAATGCCCTGTGTAAAATGAAATGTGCCACCCTTCAAGGCAGCCTGTACGGTACCCCAAAACACTAAACCAGAAGACAGAACAAAGCATCAAGGTCTACCACCCCCAGAGCAAAGCATTGTCAATGTGTTTTTAACCTAGGAAAACTGCAGAGGGACAAGGGACCTGGCAGCAAGGAAAGGATATCAGTGATGAACCAGAACCATGTTGCGAAATAAAGTAATTTCCCCTAGGAGTGGGCTGTTTCATAGCCCTGTACAGTGCAGCCCTAGAGGAAAGCTTCAGCCAGCAGTGCAGAAAAGGTGTTGATAGGGAGAACATAGTCATCTGAGGCTCTGACCTTGGCCACCCATATTAGTCATGTGTGCTCTGTGCAATAAACTTTTCATAAAGCTCTCAACTGTCCTAACCTGACGGAAGAAAAAACAAGGGAGCAAGTAACATTGAAAATTAGGCTTGCATTAATTTCAGCAGAGAGCTTTACGACTAATAAGCGAAGTGATAAAGTACCACAGCACTACTTCCATGACATCGCAGTCTGCACAGACAGGGTTGGCAGATTTCTGTTCGCATCTCCTAGGATCTATCCTGTTACACAATCGAGTGAACAGACAAAGAAAGAAAAACTTGCAAATGACCAAAGTTAGAAAATCAGGCACATTTCACTACTACACTCATTTTTCTACATGGCTTCTTATCACTCGCCTAACTCAGAACACTAATTCTCATCAGAAGTTAAGATTTAACTCCACACTAAGCAAGCTACAAGTAATTTGAAATGGCTCAAAATCCACAAAGATCAAACACACAGTCAGATTTTTATTGCTTATGTACTACTGACATCAGCCTTGCAAAGCTATTACACAAGCACCCAAATTTAAGGTCTAAAAATCAGCGGATTTGCTTTCAAAGCTTTCATGGGACACAGCTGACTTGAAGGAGGAGGTCTTGGAGCTTTGAGAAGTCTTGATCAAAAAAATCACAGGCCTTTATGAAATCTTTATAAATCACTGGTACTTTGAATCAATCATTTGGAAGCATTTTCTAAAGGTTGTGCTTTTCAAATGCTATGGTGCGGAGCACCCTTCCTTGAGAACACCAGACTCCAAAATATGCCAGAGCTGCCAGCTACAGCTGCTGGGTTTGAAACTTCAGACCATCTGTATTTGAAATGAGCATTCTGTAGATAGTTATTTGCATCTCTACCATGCCAAAGTAGAGAGTCCCAAATGTAAATGCATTCTGCCTGCATGGGTAAAGACCCAAACATATTGATAAAAAACATACACACAAATATTTGCCTGCAACGACACACCCCAACTGAGACGCAGCCTGCTTATTTATTATAGTTTCCACTGAATTAACACTTAATATGGTTACAAAAGTGATGCCTATGCAATACTTCTCTCTAAAAAGCGGAAATACACTGAAGTAAAATACTTTTGTAACTACTTCCAACTTTTTACATTTATGCAGAAGGTAATGAATATTCCTCATAAAAGGCTCTTCCAAGTTTTTTCAGTCTGAGGTGGTTTGTTCTTTGTGTATTTCAAAGAAAATTTTCACACTCCTCCCTTCAGCTTTTCCTGCTGACACTTTAATCTCCCCCTCTTGTAAATATGAGCCTATAAGAATAAATCATGTTATTTATTAAAGGTAAAAACATGATTCAATAGACAGCAGAAAAGATAATCTCCATAAAGTTTTCACCCACAGTGACTGAAATTAGCTTTTATACAAGGATTCAAACACATACCTGGCAAGGCAATAAAGCAAGAAAAAAGTTCTCTAACTGTACATGGGACTGAGTATTTTTTGGCCAGTTCTAGCAAAGTAAAATCAATGACAATGCTTTAAAACATAAGTATTCTGCTACAAGGAACCTGACACATCAGAGAACCGTTGCCTATATCAGCACCAAAGAACTCCACAAAATTAATATAAAGTAGTATTTTTTCAATTTTATATTCAGGTCACTTTTACTCCTAACATCACTGATTCAGAGGGGAAAAAAATACCCTTGATTCTTCTGTAAATATATTCTGCTTGGAAAAGTGCCTGTATGAAGCACACCAGGGAACAGGAGTGCAAGCAGCCCACATCACCTTGCCCTTTGTTTAGATTGTCAGTTTTTCCTTTTGATCTTTCTTTGCAGTTGAAGAACCAAAAATTGATTTTCCCAGTTGAACTGAAGTAGAAAAAGGACAATGTTTTATTTAAGATCCTTCACTCACACACATACGCCTATTTTTCTTTCTTTACATACAAAAGAAAATGTCTTTTTGTTCTTGTAAAAAAGTATTTTCAAATGGGGAACACTCTCAGTGTACTGACTGTGGTTTCATAACAAGAGAAGGGGGGGATGTGTTTAAAAATCCCAAATCTTGCCCCCCTGCAGAGAAGCACACACACCTCACAAACCATCTAGGCTTACAGAAACTGAGCTTCAGGGAAGCAGCAGTCATACTTGTTAGGTGTTTGCATAAACCTATGCTACTACCAATGTTACACTCAAAATCTTGCTTATGGGCAAAGAGAAAGCACAGGTTATATATTTAGATACATATAAAGCCAAGAATATTATCTTAAGTATAATGATAATTTTAAATCAATTAAAACAATATTCCAGGTTTGTTACAGAAAAAGAACACCTATATGTGAAACTTTCAATAATAAGGTGGTTCAAATGGTCATACAACTATTTCCTAATTTCTACCGCTGCTCCTGGTGTTACGCTCATCCTTCCAGTGCTCTTCTGGGTCCTAAGACTGCCAGTTTCATTCTGGTCTAGGGCTGTTACAGGCAAGTCATCGCTACCTGGAGTCCTTTGCTGGGAAAAATATGATGTTACTTCTGATGATTCCTTCTTCCTCACTCCAGGATCCCGATTTAAAATTTGTTCATTTCTTAATGGCCTATGGTCATCTGAATCTACTATATGCAGTGCTTTTTACTTTTTTTTTAATTAGAAACCAGTTTCTCGTTCCCCTTGCTAACACTAGAACTATTTTATCCTGCTTGTGGTCTGCATTACTTTAACTATCAGCAAGTAATTCATGACTTTGGGATCTCCAGCATCAAGCCTGTGCGCTGATGCTCATCAACCCATAACTGTACCATGCTGCACTACACCATATGACTTGACTTCTCTAAGCCTATTATACCAGGTCTGTATTCCTCTATACCGCATCATTAAATTAGTTGTAAAGCCATAGTGACATCAAAGTAAAACAAATTAGCCACAGATATCTGGTCAGTTAGAAAACATGCTGTTACAGCTAAACCAAGTAAATCAAAACTTGCTATTACAGCTAAAACAAGTAAATCAAAGCAGGCTAAGTCTGACAAGACCCAATCCTAAGGCTCTGCAAACCATGCAGAGCTTATGACCTGTTGCTAGCAATAGCACCATACTACAGGGCTACAGTTACAGCGAGAACACTAGACAGCAGAAAAGCTCCTGATATTACTCAGGGTTACATAGTACTAACAAAATATAAGTGAAACCACAGAACAATCATGCAAATCTCAGAGCTATATTTGCCCAAGCCTAAAGATACAATACCTTCAAGAAAAATCTTGAGTCACCAGAGAAAGCCATGACTTCCAAAACAAAATTAATCATATTCCATTTCATGTTTTCACATAATTCTCCAAGATAAACCTTGCAACTTGAAAGTTCTGAAGTTTCCCATGCTCACCATGTAGTCAGTGAGCCCCTCAGACATCTTTCATTAGGTCATAATGCTATCCATCATCTTATTTGATTAACAGTTAATCACCAAATAAGAACTATTGTGTGTTCTAATAGGCTAATTATTATTAAATACACATTTTAACCCCATGTGACCAAAATTATTGAATTTAGTATATTTTTTTCCTATTATAGTCACAACTTACATTTCTGAATAAATCATTGATATTGGCAGAAACAAAGAATTTCCCCAACACCTCCAGACATTATCAGTACTCATGGAATGAAAATGTTCTGTTTTGCTTGCATAAATTCTTATTAAATCCTTGAAGAAAGCAGAGCTTACAAACTGCTGTGCTGCTCTTGAACCTCAGAGGAATGCTGAGGACACACAGCCTCACAGATATTCACTTACAAATACAAGAAGCTCCTGCCTACTGCAGGCTTTCCAGTGCTTTCCTTGGCTGCTTCAATCTTTCTAATCTCTCTTTTTCTGTGAGCCTGGAAAGGCTTTAACAGCTTTGCCCAAGCACTTCATTTGAATCAACTCAGCACTGATTTGTCACACATGATTTTGTTCAGAACAGTTTGCTGGATAGCATACCAAATTCTGTATAATTACAATCAAACAGTCTGTAGTGAGGCCAAGCACTGGACGAGTTTAAACCTGAAGAAAACAAACTGTGATTCTCCTTAAGATACATGATTACCTTTTTAGAACTTGCAAAGAGAAGTGAAGATAAAAAGATAACCTAATTCTAGTATCCAATAAGGCACTTTTTACTTGTTTAAAATATAGAGAGCACTAAATACACTTACATATACTAGCCACGTGAATCATAGAATGCTACAGACACTAGGTACATGGCACAGGTCTCCATTATTAGTAGTGCTGCACTGGTTATTTAGAAGCCTACATGCATTCCTCACGCAATAGCTTGTCCCGTGTAGACTGTTCCTACTGCTTTGAGAGAATACAAACATCTACTCACCAGTTCTAACAGCTAAGCATTTCTGTCTTAAGGCCCGATAACTACCTCACCAACAAAGATATAACGATATATATTACAGCTAGACTTTGTGTTTTTCAGGTTTTGTAACATTAAATTAGCTTAGAAAAATGAACGTAAAAGCAATAGAGAGGCATTAGCTTCTGGTTTGGCAGTCAGCATTTACAGGAAAAGATGCATCTTGGTATAATATTGAAATCAGCAAAGCTATTTCATTTTGGCTTACGGCAAGATGAGCTCTGTGGGGACTTTATAGATAGATACTATGCTCGGAACTTGGATTCTAGATATTTTATTGCATAGTCTAAATATCACAAGGCCTGAGCAATCTTATCAAACTGTGGAACTTGGAGCTTTCTCAGTTACTCACAGATGAAGGGAATTTTTCTGGGTAAAACTGGAATGAGCAGCAACAGTGTGAAGAAGAATGTGCAGCTGATTTCGGTGCTTTGAACCTATAAAGGGACTGACATAACAGATGAGCAAGTATATAGAACCACAGAATGGTCTGGGTTGGGAAGGACCTTAAGATCATCCAGTTCCAACCCCCCTACCATGGGCAGGGATGCCTCACACTAGACCATGTCGCCCAAGGCTCTGTCCAACCTGGCCTTGAACACTGCCAGATATGGAGCATTCACCACTTCTTTGGGCACCCTGTTCCACCCTCACATGAAAGAACTTCTTCCTTATATCTAACCTGAACTTCCCCTGTATCAGTTTAAACCCATCACCCCTTGTTCTATCACTACAGTCCCTGACGGAAAGTCCCTCTTCAATACCTCAAATGTCCTCAGTCTTTATGCAAAGTGCCACCATTCAGCAAATTCTCAGCTTCAGATGAGCGGGACTGTGAATCAAATCTGTGTTGAACTTGCCAGCAGCAGACGACCATATCTGTACACTGGCTTCTTAACCACGGCTCAGCTGAGAGGTGGTAGCAGCCGATCTGCTATTTAAATGACAAATATGTGACCCAAACACCATTCAATGGCCACTTGTATGAATCCTCAAAAAGAGATGCTCTGTCATCCTGACAACTGTTAAGAACTGCTTAATATTTCATTAATTTAAGGTCAGCAAGTTGTTTTACCACATCAGAAAATCTACTTCTCAGTTCCTGCACAGGACCACTTAATATTGTCCCCCTGGTTTAAAAACTAGAAAAGGGAACTGCTGGAAAGCATGCTACAGTACATTACTACTTTATACTGCAGAAAATACTGCCAGATTTTAGTGAGGTGTCACTACAGAATAGGGCAACTTTAAAAGGCAAAATTTTTTGCTCATGCATCTGCCACCTCTTCCATTCCAACCTTCTCATTCTGAGGTCAATTCAGAACTTGCATTTGAGGCAGCATTAATTACATCTTTGTAAATAAGGGTCACAGTTAACTCTCAGAAAGTCTCTTGTGGTGTAATTTACCTAATAAGATGCATAAGAAGAGTGATCTAAATAGCTAAAACAATTCATAGAGACAAGAGAACATTATAATTAACATTGCCCTACCTGCTGTTAACAGCACTAATCGCATTCCTTTCTGCACAACTGACAAGTATCACATCACATAGATATCTTCAGTGATATGCAGCTCGTGTTAAATTACCTCTGAACCTTAGCTGTTAAAAATCTCTCTCTAGTATTAAACTTGACTGGTTTATTTTGTTTCTTCATTAGCCTAGAGCTTCTGAAGGAATGCTCAGTACAGTCTAAGGAACATAACACTATTTACAGGATACTAAACATCAAAAACTCAATGTAAAATACAAGCCATAAATCAGAACCTATAGCATGAAAACTGAAAACAGACACAAAGCTGAGTACACTCAAAAGACACAGGAGTCTCATCTTGGAAACCCACAACATAAAATATGAAAATATGTAACATTTATTCATCTCAAAGTTGGAAAATAACTTTTCAGTACAAAAGTATCTTTAAGCATCTAACTTAGCTACTTACGGATCAAAGAAACAACCAAGTAAATACTACCTGCATATGTACTTGAAGTACAAAAGTCACTCAAAAGATAAAAATAAGTTATTTATAGCATAAGTTAATCACTGTATTTAAACAGCAGACTACTTTATGGCATGAGACATAAGCCTGTATTTACAGGGAAAAACATTTTATAAGAACAGTTTTTTCTAAGATACCTACATTTGCAGTAATCAGCCTCAGGTCTCTTTTGTTCCACTTTTATTCCAACATATCCAAAACAAAGGCTGTATTATAGTGAACATAAGATATGGAAAGGCCAATAAGAAAAATCAACCACACTGAACATTTAATGAACAAAAACCTGTGTAAAAGAGGGTGTTGGATATACACAGTATCAGGAATATGATGACAATCTTCAGTGGAGCACAATACTCACATACACCAAGATTAGGAAAGTTACTACTAAAATACACAGATGAATAACAGGAGGAACAGACGGACAAAACTTGGCAGGGAGTAGATGGAAGCACAATGCAGTAATGGTGAATCTTCCCAATGACTTTATATCGTTAACTATTTATACAGTACATTTTACATGTATGCCTTTCTTTCCTCTTTCTGCAAATAACCTGGGGCTGTTCTTAAGCATTCAGAATAATAAATATATTTTACAGCTTGAAGTTTGGCCTTATTTATCTTACTCAGGTGAGCAGTCCAAGTAAGCCCAGGGGAGGTGAAAGAAAAATGTTCTCCTTCATAATGATGCAAGAAACAATTGATGATTTTAACTGTAGAACAGGGTAGAGTATACACCACATAGAGGTAAAACTGTCAACTTCAGGTTTTTCTTAATGAAACAAAAATCACTTAAAATACGAGCACAGCTAATTTCTGGAACTAACCTGAACATGATTCTCACCAAATGTTTCTCTTGCTGGCATTCCCAAGGGTTAGAGGCTCATCTAAAATATACTGTGATGGAGGAAGTCAGGTAATATCTCCCAATTGAATCCAGCAGGGTTAAAAAGACACATTTCATATTCATAAATGTGTTAAAATATTTTACTTAAACTGCAAATATTTGAAGAAATGTAGATAAACATATTTTAAATTCACAGCACTTTCCCAAATATGAGAGAGCGGATTAACAAAATGTCAGAACATCCTCTGCTTCAAAAACTGCTCTTACCACTTTAGGTAGA